GTGAGACGATATTTATATTGTAACAATAGATTTATTAATGTGCTTTATGTGATGACTCAATGTAGTACTTTAGTTGATAATGATCTGGCAGGAAAATTAATAATTTTTTTTTCATTATTTTAATAAGATCGTGATTTAATTTATAACTAATAGTAGAGATTCAACAAATTAACGATTAATGGTTTAATTTTAAGGCAATAGATGTTCTCTTTTTTTTAGTGAGTAGTAAGTAAATACTTCACCGTCCATTGTTAAGAACGCAGAGAATTTCTCATGCGTTACATATTTTTGCATTTTTTAGAATACGCAATTAGCATGGCGCAACTATCTGGTGCAGTTTTTTAATCCCAATTGTAGTACAATTCTTCATTTTGATATAACTATAGCATGATATTTTCTTCGCATGCGACAACTGCAATAGTAGATTAATCTTTAATCGATTCTCGTAAATCCTTAAACACCATATTGCGATATGGCACACTCACCCAATTCGATTGCTTATAATTTTCATAAAAATATACATCATAAAAAATTGTTTATTTTAATCGAAATATCAGACATTGAGGAACATAGTGATACCAAGCAGATACATACAGTATATTAATAAAGAAAACTTATAAACAATAGAAACAGCAGTAGAAAAAGAAAGCTGAGCATGCTGTATTGAAAAGATGTTTAAGGATTAATTGAAAACTATCTCCATATCTAAAATAACAATTGCCACATGCTTTTTAAGTAATATATAAATCATTTGTAATTTTTGTTTACATTTTTGTGAGAAAATACAAAAAAAAAACATTACAAATGATGCAGAATCCCTATAAGCAGACAATATTCTTAGAATCTTATATAAATATTAAAATATTAATATATATTACGAGAATACATATTTTTAATTTTTTAATGTTATGGAAGTATTCTATTGATGTCCATTTCATATAATATCTTAGAAATTAATCCTTTAATTTCCATGAAACATTACTGAAATAATTATTAATATATTTATTATTATATAAAACTACAATATGAATTCACAAGTAACAAACTCTTACCGGTATAAGCTGGATCTTAGCTTAAATTATGTTTCGATGTGATTTTATGTATATAACCAATTCTATAACTGCGCATCGAAATCATTTTTAGTCTTTATACACAATTTTAAACCGAATTGATGTAATAGTTTTAAAAATTAAATATTACTATATTTTTTTATGTTCATACAATATTATATTACACTAACATTAAATACTATTATTTTTACTAATCATATAATATTATTAGGAATTGACGTATAATCATTTATTAATATTTCGGGAATATTATTTAATATTATATAATAATAAAATATTAAAATATTTCATTTAATATCCTAAGATACGCCTAAAATAATTAATATTAAGTAATATTACACGCTTATAGGGAATGGTCTGTAATTACCATTATCAATAAATTTATAATGATATAACAATGATTCATTGTTATATCATTATAATTTATTAAATTTGTTCGATGGTATATGTATCAGTTCAGTTTGCATCTAATTTATACCTCACAGAGAGAGGCTGTAGGATATTGAGTTAGTTTTTCATATACTTGTTATAAAAGTAAGAGAAAAAAATAAGATATCTGCCAGCGTGAAAACATTTTATATGTAACTTACAAGTATATGGTAAAATATATTTTGATTGATAATGGAATACTAAGTAAAGAAGCGTAAAGGATATTATCGTTTGTTGTATCGCACAGGAAATTGAGTTACCTAATACACACGTTGTACCTGTTTCCTATGATACAAAATACGAGATATACATAAAAATCCTGAAAGAGCTCTTAGTTCCCTAACATGGATTTTATTTGTAATCGTGGATCCCTTCTACTTAATGAGTTAGACCTTTCGAATTGTTTGATGTTTGGGAATAATTGACAGCTTCGTCGTCTTCGTTGAAAAAATGAAAATTTTGTAAAAAAAGGTTTTCTACTTAATAACTTGCGCGTACGTTAAAATTAACCTCGAAGTTAGATGGTTTACAGACTTCTAACGTCGAAAGATAAACATTTATTCTAGTAATATATTAATGGAATTTTTATTTATAATTTAATTTCTACTAATATAGATTGTGATAAGCATTACAAATTGTATTTAATCCCATTATTATTAGCACTGCGTAATTTATAAGTTGCTTAACCGTGTGGCAAGCAATTACTTGAGAACAATTACTTATAATGTCTGACCACAAATTCTTAATACTGGTGCATCAGTGAATTTTTTTACACAACATCGAATACACATGGATGATACATAATAGATAAAAAAAGAGCAAAATGGTTGCTGTTTTTACATATATTTTTCCTGTAATAACTTTATACAAAGAAATGATGTGTCTATTATATTCTACTATAATTCTTTGTATAAGATTACTACAGGAAAGGTAGAAAGGATAATACTTTGCTCGGATACAAACTAAGAATAGAAAGACGTTTATATACGATGCCTTCTTAACACTTTATGCTTTGGATAAGTTTAGTAGTACTCGCTTTCGTTGTCTTAAAAGTAACACGTTGCTTCGTCCCGCGTTGAAAAGCAAATTCAGGTTATACCTTTATCATTTAGCGCATTTAACGAATTTATGACAATCCGTGTACACGAGTTTTACAAAATTATAATCTACACAATTATGTAAATGTACATGCATAGACGCATGTATATATATATTTTTTCACAGAATATTAATCTTGAATTTTGTGAGTCGTATTTTAATTAATGTCTCGCGTTTTCATTAAATTTAATTGACGTTTCAACGATAGCACCATGTACGTTGCTATCCAGTAGTTCGTACATCGTTAAATGCGCTTCAAGCGCAATAGAAGTTCCGTGACAAAGTCAACGTGCGTCGCGAGATGGACTTGTAGATTTTCGATGAAGGATCGGTATAGTTCAGATGTGTTCATTAAATTATAGATGATAACGCGCAGACTTTCGATGTTCGATGAGAGTGAATACATTATTACGACAGAAGTAAAATAATAAAATATTAAACGTCAGGGATGAAAATAAGTAACGTTTATTTTCAGGATACGAGCTCTTTTATTACGTCGCTCGTAGAAGCGTAGTTAGTATTCTCACGTACAATATTATTGTAGCAATATTCTAAGTGTAAATAGTTTAAGATTGTCGCTCGATTTCACGTGATTTAACTGTTCTAAAGATTTTTAAATGGTTTTCTAATCCCAATCAAAATTCGTCATTGTTCTCATTCCCACGTTGGTAAGAACGCATCGACCCTTTAACGTGCACGATGCATTTGTGAAAAATATAAAAAGTAAATGTATTTTTGAAGATCTTGCCGGCTAGGGTGCAAACGAATTAATCGTCTTTCGAACGCAGCGTTCTTTCGCTTTACTAACATACTTAAAACTTCATCCTTACAACTCGACTTTTTACGACTCTTAGAATTTATCAAATCTTTTACAATACGCATCATTTAAAAAAGAAAAGACTTGTAAAAATACTCGGGATATATTGTAAGTCGATTACAAATATTACGTCGTAAAGCAGCCGAAAGATTTTTTCATCGTGTTCGTATTATTGCTGAATAAAATGTTGGATTCATTTATTGCAATCTTATATATGTGTGTGTGTGTACCTCTTATCCTTTTTCTTCATTCATATATATTTTCCTGTTTTATTTTTATTAATTTGTTACGTTCCAACATTTTGTTCAAAATATTGTTTTCAAATATTGAAAATATGAACGACGTTCATATTCCGAGCAAAATTAAAATTCATTTTAGCTACACATTAAATGTCTTACACCCGCTTTTACACACACACACACGCACACAAAAATTTTGAATCACATCTAATTAATTCTCACTTGATATAATAAGCCTGTTTTTATTCCTGCACTAGAATTTTCTTGCTTCTGCCAAATATTAAACGTATATCTATTTCACTTTAAGTTCTAAAAGTGTATACTAGTTTCAGCTATAGAAAACGGACCTGCGATTTTATTAGGTTTTTTGTTATATAGAAGCAAATCAAAAGAGTAATGTCAATTTTGCTCATGATTTCGCCTATCTGCAACTCTCATTCTTCTGTTCATTAATTCAATATTCAAGAAAGTTGGTCAAAATTTTGATAGTCTATTTCCAGTATGATTCCCTATCCTGAAATTAATATCTCCCTGAACCTAATTATGTTTCATCTCGATTTTTGCGGAGGTCTCTTTGCGAGAATAATCGCCAAATATCAATCGTAAGTTTCTTTCAACATCTCATATATGAAGGCGTAAACCGATCTACAATAGATGTTATGAGCCTTTAACCTTTTACTCTAAATTTTGAAGTATAAAATATTCTTAAAGTACTTACATTAAAAAATTGATATTTTTATCATTATTTTATAATACATTTCCATGTATTTCTATTAGAGTACACATTTAAAAAATATTACTTCTTACTGAAGTAACTTTTGATCCAGATGGTAAACTGTCTCTAATTGTTTTATATTACTTTTAAATAAAATTAGAGAGAGAGAGAGAGAGAGAGAGAGAGAGAGAGAGAGAACAATGTATATTTTTTCAAGTAATAAGAATTACTCACGTACGTGCCATAAGCCTGGATCTACAATAGATTTTCCAGTCTTAGGCTACGTTCCAAAACGTCCTCTCCGAGGAAAATTTTACTCAAAATATATAGTACACGTAACATATATTATAGTAAAATTTTCCTCGAAGGACGTATTGGAATGTAGCCTTAAGCTATAAGAAATTGATGAACCATAGTCAATTATTCTCCTCGCATTTGATTGTAATTGATCAATTTCTTACGGCTTAAGGCTTAAAACACCTATTGTAGATCCGGAGTGAAGAAACAAGGGCTAGGACGATAGGGCATCCCTTGAGGCGCGCCGCGCTCGCGGCGCTTCGCGTCCGACTTCGTATTTGCGCGGCAACGCGCGTCGCCGCCGCGATCAGTTAGAGTCAGCTGTCAGACAGTCAGCAGCCGTCCGCCGCGCGGTATAGATCGTTAGCCGTTGTTTCGCGCACGGAGCGTACAACGAGTGCGTGACACCCACCTCCGTGCGTCCGTCCGTCCGTCTATCCATTCGCGGCGCCGTGGTTTGTGTCGTTTCCTCGACACTCTCTGTCTTGCCCTCGGGTGTCTTCTCGCCGCTCCGGTTTTTTGCGAACGATCCTCCGCCGAGCGAACGCGCGCGCGCTCTTTTTTACCGTCAATTTGTACGAATCGCGGGCGAATCGATAGCGCGAACGATAATCGTTTTTGTACGCGTAGCGAGTCTGTGTTTCGCGAGAAGCGATCGACCTCCCGGTCGCAGTTTTCCTTCGGGAACGAGAACGCATTTGTCGACGCCATAGCGTGAGCTTGACGTTTTCAAGGTACGTATAATATGTCTATGTATATTGTGATATGTAACAGTTTCATATAAAAAGAGAATGAAAACAAGAGAGGGAAAGGGGGGGAGGAAGATGGACGTGATCGACGCGTGCACGCGCGCGAGTTCAAATTCCGCGTAACGGTCGTAAGTGTCAGTTTGAAGTTGAAGTGGATTGAGCCGTAATGACGTCCACGGTGGGAGCGCGAAAGGTGCAAGTGATATGAACGTGGCCGCAAATCGCGCGGAGGGGGGACAAGTTCAGTTCGTTCACGCGACGCGCGACAATGACGACACGTGCTTCTTTTCTTTCCAACTTGCAAATTTTCCAGCGCCCCTCGTGAAGAATCGACATGAAATTTTTCGAAATTGATGCGAAATTTTTGATCGAGTCAAGGTAGAGACTCCGATCAAACTTCGATTAATCGATATATAAATCGTTTTTCATTTACAAAACTCAGGTAATTCTCATTTGTGACGCCATTATTCATTGTCAGTTGAATGCACGTTCCTTTTCTTTCTGACAAGTGAGAATCAAATGAATTTTTTATTACTTATAGTCGGCACTAGCTCGTGTGTTTTATTGAATTTTGTTTACATACTCTCTAAATTTTTTGGCGTGAATCTCACTTCAAAAGAGTGAAATCTCATTTCAAAGAGTGAAAATATTGCCACTCTTATTTAACAAGAGTGGCAGTATTTTCATTCTTTGGGAATAAGATTTTAAACGAGAGTGATCTATTCACGTTGCTTGCACTTTTGGCACTCGACATCTTTGCTTTTTCTCTTTTCAAGGCAAAGTATGTATCTACATCATTTTAAGTGTAAAAAATTTTAAATATTTGGGAATTTCATACAATGCGAACGGAACTAATATTTTCACTCTTGGAGATTTCACTCCAAAAAATTTAGAGAGTAACTTCAGACTCAGTATCACTTGTGTGAAAATAGAAAATAATCATAGTTAACTTGATTGACACCTGTGCTATTTTGCGATAGAATTATTAACTTTTGCGGTATTTTTAACGCATTAAAAAGAACATAAATTCATGGCTAACAAGTTAAGTTTTAGTTAGAAATGTGATGAAATCTGCTTTCAGCGATTCTGCAATTGAATCAATCGCCGATTAGGTTAGTCGGAGTTGCCTGCAATGGCGTCTCTCGCTTTTGGAGTTTCTAGAGTCGTTAGTACTTTAAATCGCACTTTCTTGGACCCCTTACGTTTGATATATAACGGAATATATCCGAAAAGATCGAAAAATGAAGAAAAGAAGAAAGAAAATGAATGCGGAAATGAAGCGAAATCTTGTTAGTATGAATTACGAAATGTTGCTAATTTAGCTCGCGTCGACCAATTTCCGTCCAATCGAGCATCAGCAACTCAGGCACACTTTTTGCCGCATTACGATATTATGATATATATTTTTGCGTGTCCGCGATGTCACGAAAGAATCTGAGCTAGCTAGCGAGAGCTCTGCGTGCGCTTCCTGTTCGACGTTGTTGAATGCCGGAGTAAACAATAATCGATTGTAGAAAAACTCGTATACAGTCTACGTTTTATAAATCTATGTAAATATCTGACGGACAAAAAAGTCTAATTTTAATTATTGCAAGATTTTTTAATTATTTTTTTATTACCTCACTTTTTGTTAATTCATGGAAAGAACGATTTTGCTGAAGTATAAAAATTTAGCTACATACAAATCTGAAAATAATTTTGTTGAACCACTCAAATAGTTACGTAGAAATCCCAAGCATGATGAGTAAAAAGTTTTGATATTCTAGCAATCTATTTGAGCATCCCACATAATTATTTTGATGGTTCAAAAAAATTATTTTCAGATCTATATCTAGCTTAATTTTTTCATTCTTCAATAAATTCTTTTCGTGTTTATTTGTTGTACGGTAATTTTTTTAAATAATTGACTGCAGAATAAAGAATCTCTAGAGGTTTTGAATGAAATATCTTTATGAATATTGTACGTGTCAATTTGAATGAATGAATAATTAAGAGTACATCATACTTTATATTAGGTGTTAAACTTAATTCCTGCCGTTTTTCGTTTCCAAAATTGATTTGTTTCGAAGGGGAATACCTTAATCAAAGTATTATTAATAAAGTATTACTAATTAGTAACAAAGTAGAAGGGAAATTACTTTGATTAAGGTATTCATTCATCTTCCCTTCGAAACAAATCAATTTTGGAGATGAAAAACGGAAGGAATTAAGTTTAACACCTAATATCTTAAAGTTAGAAGGTGAATTCTTGCCAACGAAAGGCGTGAAATGACGGAGGAAAAAAACAGATCGAATGAGTAATCGTGTTGAGAACATTATTTATAAATTCTCTTTTTTTCGCTTGTGCACAAATTTGTTTGCGAATTGCAGTGTTAATCTTGTCGGAAGCGAAATTTTATGATTTCCAGAATAGAAAAAAGAAGGTTTTTAATAAACTCGTAATCGAGCTGTTGTTAATGCCTCATTAAAATAAAAAAATGTAACATGTAAAAAATAAATGAAAATGAACGATCGTCAGCGTGATTCCAACGGGATCGACAAGTTCTATAAATAGCAATATCTCGATTATACATCAAGCAACTTCTCAACAACCAGATCGTATGTCCCATTCTGCCAATTTAAAACTAGTGACACGCACAACTCGTAGTGCATCCCTGGGAATCATCTGAGATCCAATCACACTCTTTTAATCTTTTAAAGTGAATCTTATTCTGAAGAGTAAAATAAATCTCTTAAAGATTGAAAATTGAACCACTCATTTTCAAGACTGGCTAAATTTGTACTCTTTAGAGTGAGACCACTTCAAAGAATTTAGAGAGGCACAGAAATCCGAATGTGCGAGAGAGTTGCACTTCGTTACAAAGTTTTCTCGTCTTTTAGATATTTCCTTTTCGCGAAATTGTTACGCTACGTTCATTAAACTGATCGATAAAGACCGTTGCTCCCGAATTGAAGATAAGATGACGTTTCTCGACGAGACACTGACTCATTGCGTATTCACTGACGCGGATTGCTCTTCCCACTCGTAAATTTGCAAATCACGTGCGTGTCGTAAACGTCAGGCCGAAGGTCGAGAGGATATCAAGTGTTGCAGTTTCAACTTATCGTGCCCGGAACATATAGATTATTATGTGACGCATTCGACTTATCGACACTTATATCAAGAAGAGACTACCGGTACCGACTTTTTTTCACGTAAAACTTTAATAACGTCGACAATAACAAAGTACTCTTGTTTACTTCTTTTAATAAGGACTCATTTGCCCTTTCTCATAACTAGATGCAAATCAGATCGATTGGATAAATACGCGACTCGATGTCTGCGATCTAAAGATTAGAACTCTTTATGAATATCACGCTGACGATCGTTCATTTCTATTCATTTTTTTACATACTACATTTTTTTATTTTAATGAGGCAATAACAACAGTTTTACTAATTTGTTATTTTTGCGTTATCTTCGTTTCTTGTGTATGTTATATGATTATCTTGTTTTATTATTTGCTCGAGTAACAAGATGATGTTTTTACTTCTTATTGATGTTGAAGTCGTCATTAAGATGTTATTTAACGTCATCTTGCTCCTTGAATTAATTGTGTATGTACGTAACAAATTATTATGACTAATTATTATTATTATTATTATTCTCTTTTGCAGTGATGCTGGTTGTTTGGCAAGGAGCTCGCCGTTGCCTGAGTTGCAGCGGGCAGCGCACTAATCAGGGTCACCAATTCCATCAAAAGTCGCACCATCGTCGCGAGCCGATCAGCGAGAAGCTCGACCGGTATCATCTCGTTAGATCCAGGTAAATGAGCTGGTTGTTACCGAGCTTTGTTTCCTTATTATCATTATTTTTCGTTATATAATCAGTATTATCTGTTATTCTCTTCGCAGAAAGATTTTCTGATAAGAAAACGAAAAATATTCTTGATCTTATCGTAACGCAGTATAAAAATAAAACGATATTAAGAATAGATCAATGTAATTCTCCTTCCTTGAATTGTATAAGATTGACTTATTATCTTGAGACAAGAATAGAAATATTGAAAATACATAAATTTAAGTTTATATATAAATCTTTTCCCAATGTTATAATGCATGATGCTTGTGCCATAATATTTAGTACCAAATTGATGTCCAAGATTATTCTATTCCAGATTTAAGAATCTTTTTTTTTTAAGAGTAGAATATTTCACTGTTAACAATAAATATGATGTCCCTATCAGTTTTATTTTATGATGGATTGAAGAGTAATATATATATTGTATCCGGAAATCTTTTCTATGGTGCAACTATACTCGATGAAAAAATTGCGTAATAAATCCTCGAATAATCTAAACAATCCTAGACTATTGTAATATTACATGATAAAATAATTGAAGTAGTTCTGCTGATTACACATCAGTGCATGTGAGGACTTTAATGTAATTTAATTTAATTTTATTATAAATGATTTTTAATCTTTCTATAAAAATAAAAATTTCTAATTTATGGCACGTTTTTCCGCACCCTAGACTCTTATTGATCTCGAATTGAAATTATAAAAATATTTTTGTTCTTTTGTAAAAAAATTAATTAATACACAAAATAATATATGCAAAGCTACTATGTTTTATTGAAGAATAATTAGGGTGGGACAATAAAAAATATAATTATATTATTAGCATAAGATTTTATTGAATGCGTATATTTATTAATTTAAACAGACATCCGAAAGATTATTAGCAATAAAGTCGAGACGGATGTAACGGTTCATTATCCTACCGTCTGCAATCGAACCGCGTAATTGATTGAGCTAATCACGTTCGGTTGAATTTTATACATGCACCAATGTGCATGTATGCGTGTAAGCTCATGCATATGTGTATGCTGATGTACGCGCCTTGTCGCCGGACTCGAATGAGACGAAGTAATTCTCCGATGACCCGACCGTTTAATCGCAGGACATTTACGAGAGGAAAATTTTCCAACGACTCGATCCGAACGACAATTCGAAACACACCCATGGCGTATTTCATGTATTTCTCAGAAATCATCTCACGAGATTCTATCCCGCCGCGCCGAGATATCTGAGTCACCGGCTACATCCGTCGTAATATATGCGTAAAATAAAAATACCGACGAATAATCGGAAAAATTGCACCTGAGAGAGCGCTAAGATTTACTTGCGGGAAATACAACGAAGAATATTAATCATCTAAAAATCGATTGTTCAGTCATCGTTATCAATTTTTAATTCAAGTACAGCGTAATCTTTTAAGAATCACTGAATCCAGAGAAAGTAATGTTATAGCTACCATTTTTTCGGAATTCTTTTTTAATTTTATGCAATTGTTTGTATTATAGTTAAGATAAATATTACTCTTTTTTCCTCGTAAAAATGTTATACTAGCGAGTGAATAATTGGAAAATTTGTACTTGAAAGAGTATAATAAGATTCGCTTGCGGGAAATACGAAAGTTGTAAAAAAAAAACAGTCGTCGAAAAAAATCCCTTTTTTAATTAATTCCCGCCGTCAATAATTTTCGAAGTATAGCGGAATTTTTTAGGAATCACTGAATTCGTGAGGAAGTAATATTATAGTTATCATTGTTTCAGAATTCTTTTGTAATTTGACGTAATTGCCGTACAGTTGATATGAACGTCACTTTTTTCTTTCTCGTAAAAAAAATGTCAGGAAATGCACGCAGATCTGTCGTGTCGCATCGGATTTAATGTGTCATAGTCAATATATGTTTTTACAGTCGACGGCCTTACGATAAAGAAGTGAGTAACACTTAACGTATCAGACACGTGCATAAATGGGGCATTCACGCCGCAGCCACGTGTCGCGTGACATACCGCTATGTGAGCAGATTCTACCTCGGATGCGTGCATTTCCTTTAAAAAAACACATCGTGTGAACGAATTGTGTGACAATTTTCACCTGATTCGACTGCTCGAGCTTCCCATAATCGAGGCACGTAGCGCAGTACGTGTCTCGTGTGGTGTCTCGATCTCTATTATTAGCTTACTGTCGCGTCATATAAATTACATAATATTAATGTTAACACGTTGCGAAATGTTATGTTTAAGTTTATTTCGTGACTGATGTTTCAAACTAAAGAACCGGGGAAGGATTGTTAAAAATAAAGATGGAAACGGTATTTATAGCCGATATTGCCCATTTCGTCATTCGTTTATCATCACCATTATACACCAATTAACGAGTCGGTATCCAGCGTTAACGTCACGCTTGATTGACGCTTCTGCGATAATAATTTGAACACGAAATACGAAGGTAAAAATTCGAGAAGTCGAACAGTGCACTCGCATAGACCCGATGCTAGATCTAGAACGCACTGAAAGAAATGATTGGCTGAATATGGCGTAGCATTTTTAATTAGTTGCAGCATCCAATTAAAAATGTTATGCCATATTTTATCATTTAATTTGCTGCAGCAGCCAATCTTTTCTTTCGCATTAATTGCAGTAATTCATCGCCAATGAAACTTCGAGCTCGATTAATTAATTTCTTCTCATTAGGCAAGTCGCGAGTGCGTTAATGTACATAACGCGACACGTATACATAACACAGCAGCGTTAATAATGCGTGTTTTGCGACGGATCTACGTCGGAGGCAACTTCGATTGTCGAAGTGAGAAATATTTGCAGTCACGTGACAATTGCCGACGAGTACGCCGGCGATTATAAAGCACTTATAAGGCGATTGACGTTCCCAGTGGGTTAGTTTACGATCGAACGTCGACGCGCCGATATCTTTTTGTAACTCACACGTGTCGTATTGTCATAACGTATTGTGCGCTATATTCGAATTAAATTTCACACGTCTACCAGTTTCTTTGCATTTCTTCGCCATCTCGTTGACATGCCTTCGTTATCGTACACCAAAACCGTAGCCGATTCTCGGGAAATTGCATTTGTCACGTTCGAGATAAAGAGAGAAATATCAAACGAAAAATAATTCAAGGTAGTGAAATTTTTATGTTGAAAATATAAAGCACAATAGAGAATCACGCTTTCTTCCGAGTAACTTGTAGAACTATTGTTATACTGATTTATCGTTAGTGGATAGAAAATCTGCGAGAACGAAGTTTAACTTTTTCCGGTGCGCGAAATTCAAGGACTAGGTGTTTTTGTGTAAAAGTTGAGTGTGTGAACTTTACATTGTACGATTTTAAACTAGTCAAATTGAGCTATATTGTAAAGAAAGTTCATTTGCAGCTGCACATCTGTTTTCTTTTGTGCGTCAAGGTTGGGGACAAAGCGGAAAGAATCCAAGTTTACGGTACGTACAAGGTTTTCTCAAGTAGTCGATCGATTGATTGACAGATAGCGATTTATTTATCGAAAGTCTCTAGGCGACTTAATTGTATTTCGCGGTATACTGCATTTCCGCTACGGATACTCGAATTACTTCCGGTACACTTTTTAATTCTTAATTATTAGTACGCTTATCGTTTTTTAACTCTATTGAATAAATCCTTTAAAAATATGATTTTGTGACCATTATTAGCAAGCAGAGATATTTTTAAAACATTCCTTGCACAAATAGAATTAGGATGCAATTTTATGCGATCATTCGCAAAAGCTGCCGCTGCCATCTTTAATCAATTTTTTTTTGTTCGAAAATTGAAACGTTGAGGATCATTGCGATTTTCGTTGACATACCTTCAACATAATTGATTTAAAATAACTATGTACAAAACGCAAAAGCAAGAATCGTCGATAAAATATAATAAAAAATAAGCAATATTACTGCTTTAAGATGAAAACTCTATTTCTTTAATAATTTATGTTAACAAAACTTGAATTATTGCGTGAAATATGAGATAAATATGAAATCGTGTATATTTGTATTTACTCTCGTATTTACTGCAATATTTTTTATATGAATCTGGAATTTATAATGATTGCAGTAGAGCGCACATGGTATCTCTATGGTTAACCGCATTGCAATATGAAGATAGTTTTCTCGTGAATAGGGCTATCATATTTGAATTACAAGAAGAGAGTACATATGTATACTTAAAAAAAAAAAGATAATTCAGGGGCGGAAGCAGAGGGTATAATTTTTTATACATTAAATGTAGGTATTTAATAAAATAAAATTTTGAAAATATAATTTTTATTAACAATTTTTATTAATATAATTTTATAAATATAAAATTTTAATTAATGACCAAAAGTTTTACGATCTTAAAAAGAATAAATGTATTCTTAAAAGAGTATAGCTGATAATCCTATTCGCGAAGTTAATTTAAATAAGTAGGTACTAATATAATATGCAAATCGACAAGTTGGCTAATAACTTCGGGCGCGACTCGAACTGCACAATGGCTCTTTAATGAGATATTTGAGTTCATGTGATTTTTTGCTGATATAAGAGATTGTCACCCTAACCAGACGTAAATAATACGAAGATTTCGAATCTGGCGCAAAAATAGCCAAAGGTTGAAAGTCCCCTCTCTGAATATTTCTTCAGATGCAAATATAAATGAGCACGTGCTCAATAATTTTCGCGTTTCTCCGTCAATCTTCGTCCGACTTCGCGATAATCGCACACTTGACAGCAGTCGACTACACTACTCACATACACCTTGATACATAAAAACCAGTTCATTCCGGGTCGCCGACGTCGCCGTTCAGTATAGACCATGAACGATACCAGAATGCATGAAGTTTTGCTCGTCGAGGACAGAATTAGAGCCAGGAAATTTACTTTGTCTTCTTGTCGATCTTCGCCACGAGATGCTTATCGATTTTACTTTTTTCTGTTTCCTGAAATAGTATATATCTTGAAAT